TCCATTGTGCTGTAGGAATTAAGGGAACAGCACCAGAGAGGTTTAAATCCTATTTGTTAGTGTCGTTTTTTCATGTTAATTACCAGTGGAGTGCCCCGGGGAACACTGCTAGGGACAACTTTCATCACAATATACCATCTATAGATAGAATATTCAGACAGAATGGCATTAATTCAATTGTTCTGCTGATGATTTATCACAGAAATTATTTAAAGAATATGGCTTAATGTTCTTTTTGTGGGTCTGCTTCTGTTTCATTGAACTGCCATTCAGTCTTGCAGAAGGCCTGCTCACACTTAACTTGCTTCTACTGGAGGTTTCTTCCACTTAAAAGGGAGTTGTTCCTCTCCGTTACTGCTGCATGCAAGCTTGGTATAAGAGATAGCTGGGTATGAGTCAATGAAACAATGCAAACGGATGTCTACTGTCACATTGTGCTCATTCAGAAGGAGTGACTCCATCAAACTAAAACTTGATGACCATAGCTAAGTGCCTCATTTTTCAAATTGTGCATTGAACCTTGTGGTCCTGTGCTTTGCTGGTCAAAGCCTCCTCCGATCACTTCCTCATGATTCCTTCGAAAAAGTAGCTTGGTAATCTTAGAGCTTGCAGGGAATAATCATCATCAGTCTCCTGATTATCTCCTGATCAAGCCATACCGATAGAAACAAACCTGCCTCAGCTTTGTCCAAAGCAGAGAAGTCCTGAGATAATTCGGAATGAAAACATTCTTCCCTTCTGAAAGTCAGCTGAGCTGCGGCATGCCCGATTAATTTGGCTAAGAAATATGACCAGACCGCCTGCTTTTTTCCACTGTTGCAGACACTGTACTGCTGCCTTGCATCCTTTGAGCGTCAATCAAGCTGAGACTTTGTGTCCAGGAACTTAAGCCGAGAAACACACTGTCTGCCATGGATGAACGAAGAATCGCAGTGAAGACCCAACTTCCCCCTTGTCCCATTCCTCTAAACCTACAGTGGATGCTGTTTTGAATTAACAGCTTGATTACATAGAGATATTTCTTGTGAATGCAATTTTTAAACTAAATTTATCGACATTCAGGGGTTGGTTAACGCCCTTTCTTTAACTAGTTTAAATATCCACATTTACTTTTAAGCTGATTACAATGGTAAATCAATCAACTAAATTGTTATTTATTATCATTACAAGCTAGTGGTCATTAATTAAGGATTAATTCTATAAAAGGATAAAATGTTCATTAGAATTTCTAATTATAATTATCAATAATAGTCATAATCAAACAAGAATACTTTTATAACCTGCAAAAACAACGATTTGACTGCCAATTTTCCTAGTATCACTTTTCTCCTGAAAATTGACATCTCACAGAATATTTTATCACAAATAATTTTCCTTTACATTCACAATGACTTTTTTGGCTAATCTATCACAAAAACAAAGTTAAAATATATGAAGTGTTGGTTCTACCATTACAAAGTGAGTAAAAGACATTGGACTGGTTTCAATATACTTTAAGCAATGCATAAAATGTTTAACATGTAAAAGTTGCTTTATTAGATGTCTTATGAAACTGGAAAATGCAAAATACATTTTTTTGGTGAATGTATAATCATCAGACTAAAGTCATAACCTAAACTGGGTAATAGTGAAAGTTTGAAATTTTATCATTACTTCAGAAACAAAAGAGCTGGATTAAAAACCCCTTCAACTCAGTCTTTTTATTTACTTTATAAGAGTCGATAAAAATGTATTCTCATTTTTTTTTATAACACTATGAACACTTCTATTCCTTTTACTATTAAAGCACCTAATCCATAAGTACAACAAAGGTACACAGAATCATTATATTAGTATTTATTTTTATTTGAACACATTTTTCAATAATTGTAGCTGTAGTTTTCATACTCTTCAAAAAACATTACCTGTGATACTCTTTTATAAATCATTTCATCTCAAAGTTCTTTGTAAAAAAATTAAATAAGTTACTTGAACTAAAGCATCTATAATATTACAATATACTAGTAGTATAATAGTAATAATAATAGTAATCGTAATGGTACTTCTATATTCCTTTAAACCTTTTTCATTTGTAGTATAATAAACCTTTTGCATTCACATACACACATACATCTGCAGCCTTTTACAAAAAGGCTGTGATGCTAAGGGCAAAATCTGTTGGTCTAACTGTGCCACACTGTCTTGAGACATCAGTGATTTCAGACATTCAAATCAAATAAAAGACATAAAAGAGGGAAGAAACAGTGTGACATTAAATAAGAAAAGGAGAAACATACATTGATCAGCATACCAAGGAACATATTTACAACAACAACAAAAAAATGAGCTTCTGCATAGATCCAGGGGTAGAGAAAATAACTTTTGAACAGACAGAGAAAACTAATGATTTAATGAGAGCAACAGGCATTAATGGCCAATTTGTGCAGGAAGAAAGCACAAATGTTAACATGTTACAAAAGTTGACTGAGTCTAACCTACAGCTGCTACAGACCATTTCAAGGGATGAAGACTGATTCAATATGAGCCTACAATGTTTTCTACACTGTGTAATGCCGAACTATTTTGACATAATTAAGCATTAAGATTAAGGTATAATTGTTGTATGCACTGCAAACATGACCAAATATTGATCTAATGAATTCATGTAAACATGTGAATCCTCCATGTAAATGTCTGAATAAGTTGGGTTAAATGGCAACTGGTACACAACATTCATCCCCATGCAACCGTAGTGAAGATGCACAATGAAAACATGTCTTCTATGTCAATGTTTTGAACTATATTGAAATAAAAGCATGCTCATTAAATTTAAAAGTAAACTCATTTCCAAACATGGAGGTTTTTGAATGAATGGTGCTCAGGTTGAGCCATTTTTTCCACCCACTATGTTACCAATCTGGATGTACGGATATGTTAATGTTGTTTTAAATCAACTTTTCAACTTAACATTTAGATGTTACATTTCAAGTTAATTTCGGAAAGATTTGCTATTTTTTTTCAGACTTGGCAGAGGAAAGTGAAGGAAGAATATTTTTGTGTTCTGTATAACAATACAATAAACAATAATGTCAAATAGGATCGCCTAATGCAGGTGTAGGGCTGCGGTGCAATACAGAGTAATACTGTAGATCTCTGGAGTCTGAAGACAGCACCTGTAAAAGTGTAACCATCCAGTATGCCCATGCCATGATGTTTTGTAATCAGCTCAGAATGAAAAAATCATAATGTATAAATGTAAAAGTAAAAAAAAAAAATTAATATAAAAGAAGTATTTGGAAGTACACACACAGCAACACCTGAAGCACCCTTCTGCCCACACACTGATGGGTAATAGAAAATAATTTTCTCTCAGAACTAAACTATATTTGATTGCTGTATCTAACAGTTCTAATGCTCAAGTATGGACCTCCAGCAGCAGCGATAACATGAAAGAATGAATATCTCTCCATCAAGTGGTGGACTCCGGTATAGCAGCCTTTTTGACACTGAATGTAGACAACTTAAACCAGAATGGATACAGGAGGAGCTTTCTGTGCAAACAAGTATAGTGATGAGTTTTATGGCACAAGGTCTGAGCAGCAAATGCAAAGTTGATTTAGTCAATAAATACACCAAGATAGGTGGAATTAAAAGTTCCATATAACTGTTCTATAAACTGACGACATCAGATTCTGTATGGAACATCCATGTTGATAATTAACACACTAGAATGTAAAAATGTATTCGACCACATATCCTTGCTTTTAGCAGATACCTGATACCTTGCAACCATCCAAATCAAAGTAAAAAATAAAATAAACAAAACTAGGGAAACAAGTCAGCCCTTAAAGTCATATCATGTCTTTCTTATATCACAAAACCCTTGATTAATATATAAGTAAACTCAGTTGACTTTGAGTGCACAAACAGTGACATGCTAATTTTTCTGTTTGTTTCTGCGCTTGAATTCCAATTACAGTAACAAAAAAAGGCCCTTTGCTTTTAAGTTCAATGAATTTCTCTGTAAGAAAAGAAAAAACTGTCTTGAAACTGTTCTCACTATGGATGAAAATGTTTGTTATGTTAAGTAGTAATAAGCCCTTTACATAATGGAATTTGTAATGCTTTAAGTAATGAAATGCAAACATATTGAATGCTACAGGTTATGTTTTGGGATTAAATGTGGTTCTGAGAGTAAGGTAGCATCACCTTGAAGAGCCTCTGCATGCAATTGCACTGAGATAAACTAAAATTGTCTTTTTGTATGCGAGATTTAAAAGGCTACAGAGCATGACAGAAAGCAGAATTCAGCCAATATTAATAGAAGTTACAGTTTGAGTCATCTGTAATATGGTGAAGATTATATTGGGTCATTTTTGTCTTTAAATAAGATATAGGGGTTCAAATCTGAAATGTTTTAATTTCCTGTATTTTGTGTGCCAGGCTATTTAAAGCACAAATGTTAACACCCCCACCCACACCAAGTAAAAATGGAAGAAATTATCTCCATAACACATAGTGCTTCTAACTCCCGGTTTACTGGACATGCATATATCAGTAGAAAACTTGTTCCTGGGCTAAAATGACAAAAAAGGTTGTATTTAATCATCAAGACGTACCCACACTGGTTCTGGGTTTTAGGATTGATTGAATGACTAACCAAGCCGGATCTTACTTTAATTAGTTGTTGCTGGATCTCCAGTGTTTAGAGGACTGGGTGGTTTTTTTGTTTATCTATTTTCTTTTTAACAAAGTGTTGTTTGCCACCTTTACTACATGTTGAAAATAAAAAATACAATTGTATTATTTTTTTTTTTTAAAGCTTTTTTTTTACGGAATATAGTAAGGTTTTGGGATTTCACTACTAGTAAAATCAAATTATTCTTTCTCAAATTAAGGTTTAGAAAAAAGAACTATAGCTTAGTTTAAGTAAGGTTTTCCCAATCAAACTTGATTCTGTTGCATTTTATTAAATCGCAATAGGAAAAAAAATGGTTGGTTAAGGAAAAAAATTTAGAAAATATTAAAAAATTTCCTGAGCCCAAGTATTTACTTTAATTAAATCACGAAATGTATTTCGATACTATTCTGTTATTTTTTGATTATCTCTCAAATCAAATTAAAAATACCTATGAGCTGCTGTCAAATCGTTTTAAATGGAACTCAGAACCCCATAAAACCCAATGATCTTCAAACAGAAATATGGTCCACCTCCCACAGTGGTGCAGAGAAATTCTGCAGGGCTCTCCATGAAATCAGCATTTTAAATAAGCTTTTTGGCATAGCAACATGCACACATTCCATCTCTCTGTCACACACACACAAACACACACAAACCTGCTGCTAAGTATTTATCCCATTTTCTGTCTTAGAGGAACATATTTGTCCCTGAATGAGGGAACCAGTAAAGGAGAAATAAAGAAAATAAGATGATTGTGTTATTCTATAGTCAGCCATAGCAACAGAAACCAATAATCAGAACGCAGTGTAAAAAAGCTTTGTTAGAGAAACTCAGCCACAAGGAACAAAGGTTGTGGCATTGTCCCTTTTCCTATCTAAGGGATCACTTGAATCCCTTAGTGTATGGGAGTCTGTTTATTACATCACTTCTTTGTTTTGATTGATTGAAGCGTAACTCATTTCAAAGCATTCCCATATGTTTTTGTTTGTCATAAAGTGTTGCAGTATGTCTACAGGCACACAGCTCCAGCCGTACGCACCCACCATCACTGTATTTTTCAAGCTGGTTGCCATGGTGAGGAAATTCCTCCCCACCTTTCCAACCTCACATCCACTCGGCTGCTTGATCACTCCTCATTGGCGGGACTCTCCTCCAGAGGCGTGAAGGTGGGGAGACCCATTCCTGTTGCATTGTGTGATGCAGTGAGGCTGGCAACAGTGTGTAGGAGGACAAGGACCAGCAGGCAGAGTTTAAGCCGGCTGTTACACAGTCTGCAGGCTGCTGAAGAGCTAAGGGAGGTACGATGCTGGCATGGCGGATGAGTTCTTTTGAGGGTCCCTCTGGAACGGTTGTCCACTTTTGTATCCCACCGTACGTCGCAACACTCTGCATTTGGGTCAACACCTGATGGGTAGTCCTCCAGCAACCCTGCAGATATTTAAAGATGAAGGGTTGGTATGGGAAATATATTAGAATTTAAAAAGTATATTGTCATACAACAGGGTCTTCCTATCAGTACCTTTACCAAAGCAAATAAAGATATTGACAAATTTTGTTTGTTTGTTGTGGCTATTCTAAAAATGCTTTCCTAATATGAATAATGTAAAGAAGCTTAGCATTGGGAGGGTTTTCTGGGTTCTAACTAGTTTTTTAGTTTTTTTTTACAAATCAAATATCTCACTGTTTTGCATATACAAAGCTGATCTTCCTGTGCAAAGTCCCTGTTGGTAAGATGGACTTTGTTTTCTTTCTCACTGTTCATTTATGGGCTCTGTGTTAAGCATAATTTCTGGGCCTACCTCAGGTTGCAATGTGTTATTCTAATATATGTTGTCAGGAGTTATCAAAGGTAAACACTACTGTATAGTGTAGGTGTAAATCAGGTGTAAAAGTTCTATCATGGTACAGTATTGTATTGATTTGCATGGATCACAATATAATCTTTCTAGATATCACAAAGTCTTTCCTACTACAATTCTGATTCAGTTCAATTTACTATTTATTTTAAGTATATAAATGATGGTTGTGATTTCATATTCCCATCTAACATCATTGTTTGTGTCTATATCAAAACTCCCACTTTTGGATCAAAAACAAGGTTCTTATTAATAACAAATGAATAGAAATTGATCATCTATTCATATTCTGAAAAGCTAACCCCAGAGCTAGGTATCTTAAAGATGACAATGTGTTTTGACATACTTTTATTTTGTATCGATGTATTAGATCATCAATCCTTTAAAGCTGTTCTAAATAACTTTCAGTGTTGGTCAATTTTGGCTCATTCCAGTGGATAAAAGCTGTATTGCTTTGCCTGAAGGAAGACAACATTTCCCACGAGGACCAGCGGGTTAAAGACCATAGTGTGGTACAATCCTGATCTCCAGGTCACCTGCAGGTTGATTGAACTAAGTTTCTGTTTCCAGTAGCTGTTTGTAAGATGAATGGCGATAAGGGATGGATGGATGGATGGATGGATGGATGGATGGATGGATGGATGGATGGATGGATGGATGGTTCTCATTAAAATAGGGTGGAATGTTACCACTTTGCATATCTTATCCCTTGCCAACGCATTCTTTGATAATTACCTGTAGCAAACCCATTTTTTTTTAACCACACAATTTTGCACTCCCTGTAGGGATTTTTGAAATATAATGCCCTTTATGTACATAATTCCATTTCAATACAATCTGGCATACACACAGTCTTGGAAAAGATTATACTTTAATTTGCATGTCAATGTCTTGCCGATTCCCTTAAGATGCTTTCTGTTGTGTTTTTTAAATCCATCCTCATGTAGCAACTAATGCCAAGATTTTTAATTTTTGCTTGTAAAAGGGAAGCATGTTAAACCAGAACTAATTAATAAACTACACATGTTCTGTTTTGGGACAGATACAAATAAAATATATATTTTCTACATACATACATATATATATATATATATATATATATATATATATATATATATATATATATATATATATATAATTTTTTATTTTTTTCAAAAAAAGAATTGTGTGCATTTTCTAAAGTCTATACAGAACATAAAGTATACACACCAGCTCAAAATCCCAGAATCATCTACATATATACTTAAAATAATGTCTTTTAGCAAAATTAGGATAAAGAAATAGATCAAAAAAACTTAACCTTAAAATATGCTGTTCTAGTTGACCACCAGGGGGAAGCATATACTATGAATTACGAGCTTACAATGCCAATACAGTTTAAAAGAGGGTCATACATTTACATGACCATAGATATACAGTAGTATGGACTGCATTTAGAATGGATTTCTGTGTATGAGATGTTTAAAATGGAAATCTTTTCTTATTAATTTTTCTCCATTGTTACTACACAAGAAACCCTGCTTCCATTCACTGCACTTTCTGTTGCAGATTCCATATTCTCGATCCCTTGGATCAACACAGCAGGTATTATTTATTTTTTTATATGAATTTTGTTTTCAACATGATATGCAGCATATAAAATGTAACATATTCATGTTATCTGGATAAAAGTTAAGTACATATAGAAATTAAGGTGATAAATCCAAACTAATACGTTTTTTTATGCATTTCTTTTTTTTTTTTTTTTTACCTGCATCACTGTTTTTTTATGTACTTTAATGCTTTAGAGAACACAAAGTTGATTGTTTTCATTGTATCGGATATTGTAAGCATTAGCCATAGAATGACATCCTGTAACTGCAAACTTTATCAAGGAATGGGTGTCCCACTAATGTTGCTAGGTAGTCCTGAACTTATATTGGCCCTTAGAGCAAGGCATGTGAGCTGTCTGTGTAACCTATTCAATACTGTTTTTGATACGTTCACTGACTTCCTGAGGACCTTATGGGGACAAAAGGCTGGTTATTGGAGGACTTGGTGGACCCTCAGGTTTCTAAGACAAGGAGTAAATTTAGAGGTAATCTGTGACTTCACTTTGGGGTAAGATTAGGGTTAGGAATATACTGGTAATGGTTAGGGTAAATGTCAGAGTTAGGCCCAAATGCAATAGGTAAAATGAATTTAATTCAATGTAAAGTCTTAGTATTGATAGTAAAGCAAGCTTTGGTGGGTTTATGTGTGTTGGCTGTGATTCATAAGCTCCTGGATTTTTAGGGACAACTACCCATTAACTGGTGGTGTAATGATAAAACTGGCAATTCTTGTCAATCGTTCATTTCTTAAAGCAGGGGTGTTTAATTCTAACACCAGTGAATCTGCTCAGAGTCTGGATGCCGGAATTCTTTACAATTTTTTTTAGCCCCTGTCACACCTTGCTGATTTAGACAGCGTATGCCTGATGTACGAAAGATCTGGCTTATCCAACACTAGCATGCGTTGGATAAGTTATGGGTACGTTCTGTATAAGTTATGAGCACGCTGAAATACGTGAAATACATACAGTAATTTTGAGCATTCTCAAAATTTCCCGCATATGCGTGGGGCATAAGTTATAGGTAAGTTATCTGATCGTTGACATACTTTAAGTGTAAGATACTCATAAGTCGGGGTGTCTAGCTTATCCAAAACCTATGAGTAACTTGTGCAAAACTTATGCATAACTTATAAAGAACTTATCTCCAACATAATGGCGTATTGGCAGCATTTTGGTATAAAAGGGGGTTCACAGGAGGAAACCGTCTGTACTCCTCCAGACTTCAACCCCATCATAGGATGAGCGTGAAGGTGAGTGTGATGGATCCTCCCTTCGTTCACGCCAATCGCCTACAAACTTCCTAGCAGACACGATGCTGAATCAGCTGCGACTGCAAACCTTGTCTCTTTTTCTTTATTCTTTTTTTTTTTTTTTTTGAGGGCGTAAAAGAGCAGTCAGGTTAATACTGCGATCAAAGACATTTTATTTTATTTTCATTTTATATATCGCTGCTGCTCCTGATGCTCCCGATGCGCCTGAGGGGAGCAGCTTTCACTGATGCCTTGTAATGCCCTAAAAAATTATAGTTGTGCATCATTTTATGGACATTACACTACCGTGCTTTATGCATAACTTAGGCGATCTTTGGACCTACGCTGTGAAATCGTTATAAGTACACTATGTATATTCCCAAACTTAAAAAAATACATAGAAAGTTCAGGGTGTGCCAGCATTTTAGGAGATTCTTGGACGTCGAGCATATGCTGTCTAAAATGGCAAGGTGTGACAGGGCCCTTTGGTTAATTACCTGTTGTTGGTACTGTAATACTCAGAATCTATGGGCAAAGTTCCTGATAAAACACAACCTTGTTTTGCGCGATTGTTTTTTTTCACAAGTACTTCAATTTTCTGATGTCCAGCAAAAACAGTTTTATCAGATAACTTCGTAGTTGATTGATTCTTTGACTTTTTTTCTTCGGATCTAAGCTTTTCTCTCCTAACAATGTAACTTACAGTAATATTGACAGTGCAGGTTTAGCTGCTTTCTGTGAGATTGTATCGTCACATGTTCCATCGGATGTTAATTTCACTGTTTTCACAAAGGATAGTGCATAGGCTAAAAAAAAATATTTTTCTTTCATAAAATGTAACTACACACAATTTAGTGAAACTGTTCAAGACTTGTTTTTTGATAAGTCTTTTAATTTCAGCTAACATTGGGCTAGTAGTGTAGCAGACTGTGTTCCATAAAAAAGCAGGACCAAGACATGAGTAAAGACTGTAGATGTATGTTCCAGTTAAATTTAGAAAATGCAAGTCTTAGGGGACAATGAAATAAGGGAAGAGATTACTGAATTTTACCTGTACATACAAAACTTGGGCTGCCTCCATGAATGAGATCATCATTGTCAGGGAGGACAAAGGGGCAGCGCTGTTGAACCTCCAGGCAGTACTGGCCACAGGGGATTCGATTGGTGCAGTGTATCTGGGTGGTCTGGAAGTACTGAGAACACAGCCAGGACTTATAAACCATCTAGGTGGAAAACAGAGAGGTGAGAAGATATTGATGAGTTAGGAAATGCCTTTTTGGATGATATTCACACATACACACGCACACATCTTTAAAACCACAATCTTACACCATCATGACCTCTATAGCTATTGATTCACACAAGACTCTGCAGTTATCCTGTTGATCCTAATATCCACTGTTTAATGAGTTTGCTTGTTGCTGGGCAGTCATCAGTTTGTCAGTCAATATAAAGTATTATCCAACATCCTCTGTGAAACACAGTATCACTGAGCTGCACAAAGCAGATTTCAAAAGGTTAACATTTATCTTTAGGGGTGACACAATGTTCATCCTGAGGAAAAAGCTATATAAAAACACTTTTCATAAGATTCAAAAATAAGCAAGTAAACATATATTTTTATATTAACAATAACAACAAAGGGGAACCAGATAATGTTTTCAAATTATAGAGGAAACTTAACAGTTTCAGTCTCAGGCTGTGACTGACGGTCAGACCTCAAATCCTGGAGGAGCAATGTGATTTTTATCCTGGCCGTTAAACAATGATCCAGATTTCTACCTTTGGGAATTATTTATGGAAAAATATATAGTATATTTCTTCAGCCATTGTGTATGTGTTTTGTAGGTTTGGAAGGAGCCTATGATTCTGGCCATTAATGTATTTTGTGAAAAAGGTGCTTGTGAAGTATGTTGGTGGCTTCTAAGAGCTATCCAGACTAGTTTACATCCAAAACAAGAGCTTTGGCCTCATTCTTGGCACACAAGCAACCCTGATGGCAGTGTGTAATGGACTTCCATATTGGTTTTTGTAGAACTCCAGGAAAAGATCTCTAGGCACAGTTGTGTCTGGGTAATACACTTAAAATCCCATCTTAGCCTTTTTGCAGATAATGTGGTTATGTTGGCTCCTTCAAGCCATTACCTTAAACTAAAGAGATTCGCTGAAACTAGCAGGTTGGACAAGAGTCCGCTCCTCTGAGTCTGAAGCCGTGGTTATGGATAGGCAAGATGCAGAGTGCTGTATCTGGGTTGGTGTGTGCCTTTGTGTCTTGTTCACTGCTGATGATAGAATGGAACTCGAAATGGTGAGATTATGGCTTTGTTTGCAGTAATGCGGATGCTCCTTCAAATTTTTGAGGCAAAGAATAGACTTAACCAAATCGTAGAAATCTCCATCCACTGGTCCATGGAAGTCCTGACATTCATCTGGGGGCATTAAATATTAATCATGACCAAAATGAACTTCCTTCAGAGAGTAGGACCTCTCACCCTCACAGATGCAGTGAGGCGCACTGACATCCAGGGAAGCTCAAAGAATAGCTCCTCTTCCCTGCACTGAAGAGGCAGAAGAGGTGGTCTGATATGGTTGCCCTTTCAAGGTAGGTCCAACTGAAAGGAGCGCTTAATGAAAAATAAAATTCCCCTGGAGGGATTTAATGTCCTTCTATGATCCGTGAATGCTATCAAATCCCCAAGACTGAGCTAGAGTAGATAGACTGGTGTTATATAGTTTGTACTCTGATTTACATTGTGTCAGGAGAACAACTCAAGAAATTAGCTATTATGAAAGAGATTTTACAGATTGATTCCACAATCATTGTGGATATTTTCCTTAAATGCACTACAATAACTTGTGTATTAGGGATTTTTATGACCAGTTCTGTAGCAGTGTAGCCAGGCTCATAACTTGAAAAAAAAAATTCAACATCTTCTTGGGCTGTCTTAGTGTAGAGTTGTGACCCCTGAGTGGGAAAGTCAGTGATGGTAAGTGTGCACCATTTACCTATTGAACAGCCCTAAAAAAAAAGTAAAGAGAGTAGCTTAAGACCTTTACAGAATAAAGGTCAAGGACTCTTTCCATAATGTCAGCAAAAATAAATGACCCAAAAGGATTTGTCTTCTCAGAGAAATTACATTTTCCAGATGGGAAGTAACAAGGCTACAACCTAAGGTTATATATATGGAATTGCTCGAGCATGGTCCGAGCTGAATCAGTGGGAGGAAAGAATAATGCCCTCTTCCTGTTTTTTTTTTTTTTTTTATAAGCGGGCACTCCTATCCCTGTGTCCAAGGACAGGAGGGCACATCAATGTCCAGATTCTATATACCTCTGCATTATTCAGGTCATGCATCTGCTCCTGTAAGAATTTAAATGAAAGAAGTGGCTGCCTGTTGTCCACAGATAATCTTCTAGAAATCTTACTCCACCTTGAAAGGCTGCACCGAGACCTTCCCTAACAATGGGGATGCTCCCATGTGGCTTGTTTATTTGTACGGAGCTTCCATCCCAATAGTTTACATTAGTCTCTGTAATAATCTGGAAGTATTTTCAGATCTATTAAGAGTATGATGCTATGTGTTAATATGTTAATGCATTGTACTCATGTAATCATGATACCCTGTAATCATTGACGAGTGAGTGTGTGTTCATGACAAGGAAATATGAGTTTACCACATGTTTTAAAAATTATTGAATGCACAAATTGGCAAATAAGTTAGCAGGGAAAACTGCTTGCTATAGGCCTTATTTTCAAAAATTGGGTGGTTCCCTCATTGTGCGGTATTGTAAACTAAACAATTAACAATAATGTTTGACAAGTACTTGTAGGCCTGTCAGGAGAGCTGGCATCTGCTTCGAATCATCATTCAAAATCATTTGCCAGCTTGACAAACATTTTACTATTATTGTGAGACAGAGGTCCTGATCTGATTCAGAAAAAGGGGCAACAAATTATATGTGCATTTTTTAAACGGGAAATAACTGGGTGTGTTGCAGGTAATTTACAAAGACTGCAGCCCAAATATAAAGACAAGCAAAGTATAGCAAGCAAATCTTTAAGTGCCATGAACAAAAATAACTGAAATGAAAAAGAAGACACTTAACATCATAACACAAGTCAGTTGTCCCCCTGAACCCCGTGTCTCCTTTGTGGCAACATTGACTGCAGGAAGTTTTGGGAGTGAGTTTTCACCTGACTTTCAGAAGTACTAAAAAAGATGCATAAACTGGTGACAGAGTTGAGATGAGATCTGGAAAATCACTTTGAACATGTTAAATGTTTACATTTGCATATGCTCACTCGTGAATTTATGCAGTTTTGTCATTAGAATATGACCTGCATGTGCAAAAGCACACATGAAAAAAAAAAAAAAACGTTTTTTGCACATGCTGTCTGCTACATTGGAAATGCTAAACACTTTGCACCTTCTTTGAAGATCCCCTCTGTGCATACAAACATATTTGCATATGTTTTACGACCTACAAACCGTCTAAACATCAGGCCCTGTAAGTATAGGACAGAAAACAATTACAATCACATTTTATTATATTTAAATGTAGATTAAGTTTAGCTTGTAGATCTGAAACACATTCTGAGGCAACACAGCCCAACACAGCATGAGTTACACACCTTCAGGACCTTCAAAAAGAAGATGCCCATACCAAAAAATTAGTCAAATGGACACTGTAAGTATAATTCCTCTGTTAACTGTTCCAAACAATTTAATTTCATAAAACCTCTAACTTTTGCACAATTAGCTTGTCATACCACAGTAAATGGCGAGTTTACAAAGATGATCAATAGCTTTGATATCAAAATATATTAAAACCAGACTTGGACTTGTCTTAGGCAACTTTTATTGTTATTTTGTATACACAGAGTGCAAACAAAACGAAATTTTGTTTTGTACAGCCTTCAAAATATTTCCATTCCATAAAGTGCCACTGTAATCAAATACACCAGTGTGGGAGAAAAGACATGGTGCAAAAACGCACTGATATGGAAGTTCAGAGAATTAAATATATATGGGGCAAATATACAGTATTTTGGTTTGATGTTATCAGTGTAATGCAGAGTCTGTGACATAATTTAGGGTTTATCAACAGTTCAGCTGTCTGATGGCAGTGAGGAAGAAGCTGTTATGGTATTATGGTGACATGAGATAAAGTCAGAACTGATGTTCTACTGCATGGTATTTACAACATAAAATTTTTGGATATTAAACTAAAGCTGTTATATGTTTACAGTACGTTGAGAAGGCTTGGCTGGGATTTAAGTTTTTTAACTTCTCACCTTTTGAACAACACTGCTGCGTCACCTTTAGCAATCATGTATATATACATAAATTGATAAATACCCATATATATTGTCCACAAGTTGCTGGACCTGTTGGCAGTGTATAAGAAATTACAGAGGATCTTATTACCACTCTAAAATCACATCCAAATCAATCCCTGATTCAATTAAGATCAGTATAATTGCTCGATTGTAGTTCAGTTGGTTAGTGTGATCAGGATTCAGTCACATTAGAATTTAATTAATGTGAACTTTACTTCACATTTACATTTGGTTATTGGTAGCCAATAATTTTTTGTTTACCCGTTTAAATAAATGCACTAAAATTATTCTTTTCTTTTTGCTCATCTGTACTGCCCATATGATGTTGTAAGATTATGAAAGAGTTGTTTATTGTTACTTGTTTGAAGTGTGTTAATACAACAGGCAAAGCCAGAGGCAGACCGGACAATGCACATTTCAAACAGCATCAAAATCAAAGTAAATGTGATGCAGGGCAGAATTGAGTCAAATCTCTCATTCATAAAAATGCATATAAATTAGATGAAAATGTTAGGCTGTGACAATAAACTGTCTGATGTAAAGGCCTTATGTTAGCAAGGAGTTTATGAAAGAAAAAATAAGCTTTCATCCATTGGTAGGGAAAAAAAGCAACAGCAATAACAACACCAAAACTATGATTCATTAAGTCCCAATTTAAAAAAAAAATTTTTTTAAATTATTTGTTAAAAGGAAAGTAATGTTCATTTAATATTATAACCTAATAGATTAGAATGAATTATATGTGTTTTGAATATTTTTTCCTTAATCTAATTCAACTCAAAATTTATTTACGTGCAAGACTTTATTTGGAGATGTGGATCTAATACATGCTTTCTAGTCTGCCTAAGTTCCGATTGCTCCTAATTTATTGGTTCAATTACT